ACTTGGCCTCTCTACCATCGGTATCAAAAAGTTATCCCTGACACACTCCAATAATTTGTTGGACTGCTTATGCACTGCTGTGTTTCTCTCCCAGCAACTATCCTGGTCATTAAAGTATCCCATGAGAACCAGGTTCTGCAATTTGGAAACTTCAGTCAGTTGTTTAAAGATGGCCTCATTCATTTCTTTCTCCTGGTTTGGCAACCCATAGTATATGCCCACCATTACATTGTCCCTGCTGCTTTTTCCTCTGACCTTGACCCAGAAGGTTTCAACGGGCCTATCTTCCATGTTTTCATAGATTCATAGATTCATAGATGCTAGAATCAGAAGGGACCTCAATAGATCATCGAGTCCGACCCCCAACTGTACTGTACCTCAAGAACATATATACATCTTCTTTCACATAATGAGAAACACCTCCTCCTTTGTTCACCTGCCTGTCTTTCCTGGCAAAGTTATACCCATCTGTAACAGGGGACCCTAACCCTGTTACTCAGTTGAGTGGGAAAGAGCAAGGTAGAAACAGGGGGTGGGGCAGGCAGTCTTCAAGGAAAGGGCTCATATTAGGGAACCTGGAGCTTATAAACCAAGCCTGGGTGTGGTAGGTCTAGGCTGATGCGCATTTAGAGGCAGTGTCCAGCCTCAATACACAGGACTGAAAGCAAGAGCTGATAAAATCTGAGAGGTATGGGTATGACTATGGGAGTGGCTGAAAGTCATAATTATTTTCTTTAAGGCTTAATTGGGGGATTGCCATGAAAGGGGAGACCCACCCAATGGAGCTTGCAGAAGCTTGTTGAGAAGCTTGCAGGATAGCACATCAAGCGCAGACATCTGCGAAGAGGGTATCCGAGCCCTGCCAACAGCCTCTCTCATTAAAAAAACTCTTTAAAAGATCAGTCATGACAGGAGAGAAATTGGAGGCAGGATAGGGACTAGGTGTTATGACTGGTTGTGGCTGGTTCAGCCACTAGGGGACCTTGGACTCCAGCGGGTTGGCCAAGCTTGTCACACCATTCATGACCATATTCCAGTGGTCCATACCAGCCATCCCACCATGTCTCTACAATCCTAATTACATTGTAATTCCTCAGTTGTACTAGGACCACCAATTTTTCATGTTTATTCTCTGTGCTTCTTGCATTAGTATATAAACATTTCAGGTATCTAACTGATTTTCCTATCTTCTCCCTGAGAACATTGCTAGGACTTCTGTTGTTGTTTCCTCTTACTACGTTTTTATCCAGGTCTCCTGCCTCTTCATTTACTTGTGGTCTTTTGTCTCCATCCCCTGGTGAACTTGGTTTAAAGCTCTCCTCACTAGGTTAAAAAGCCTGTATGAGAACACAGTCTTCCCTGTCTTCATCAGATACACCCTGTCTCTTCCCAGCAGTCATTCTTCTTGGCACACCAGCCCATGGTTGAAACAACCAAAGCCATGATGAGAACACCTTCTACGCAGCCAAACACTGATCTCCAAGATGTGTCTCTTCCTAGCTGGGACTTTATTTTTGACTGGAAGGATCTATGAATACAATACCTGGGCTTTCATTCTCTTCATCTTTGAACCCAAAGCTATGTAGTCACTCTCAATCCACTCAAATTTGACCCTGGCAGTATCATTAGTGTCCACTTAGATGAGTAGCATGGGGTAGTAGTCAGAGACTCAGATGAGTCCTGGCAACCTTTCCTAATAGACAGCACTTCCCAAGCCAAAAGGTCAGACTGACAGACGGATGCCTCCATGCCCTACAGGAGGGAGTTGTCCATCACCACCACCTGTTCCTTTCTCTTGGCATCAGGGGGTGCATGGCTTGACCTCTCCTGCCACAGTAGTAGACTTCTACATCTGATGCCAGGGCTTCATACCTGTTCTCCAGCTGGAGAGTTGTAGGCCTGGAAGAAGGGTACTGTATGTTGCCACAGGTGACAGGCTGCTAGCTTCCACCTACCAGAAAACCTGTCTTCAGGTCTTTCAGTGACCTCACTGGCTGTTCCTCTTCCATGATGCCTGAGTTCTCCTTGTGCATCAAATGGATAACATCCTCATGTTCAAGCCTCCTCTCTGCTCACTCCTATAAGCAACCCAGCAAAATGGCTCTCAAACTGAAGCTACACCACCAAGCCCAAAACAGGCAGGCCTTCCCACTCCCTAGCATTCATATACCTGCACCCCAGGCAACCATGGCTTCCTGCTCATCTCCTAAGCAGGAGTCTCACTTGAACTCCCCTGTTTGCTGGTTTGGTATCACTGGCTCCTGTGTGAGGTAGCTGAAGCTGTTCCTGTTATGGTTTGGTTTTAAATGATTAAATCCATTACTTCTGTTGTGCTACAAGAAACTCTGCACCAAAGTGTACCTAAATTTGCATAGTTAATTAGATGGAGGTAAATAGTAGATAGGAAAGAGTTTACTTTTTTTTTCTTTTTCTTTTTTACAGTATATCACAAGCCAGGGAAAAGTATACATCTGTCATCTGAATTTAAAACAGAAACCTGTGAAACCAGTGCAGTAGTTCCATTTGAAAAGCAACTCTTAGAACATTTGGAGAAATTAATGCGTAATCTGCAATGTGAAATTCAGCAGTGGAATACACAGTGCCATGCAGCCACAGATACAGTGGCAATGCTAACACACAAACTTATATTTCAGTTTGTAGGTAAGATAAATATTTGTTTATCATTTGATTATCAATTACTTTCAAGTGAGTCATATTAGCCAGTATTGGTTTTCTTTTTTTTTATTCCTGCAAGCAAAAAATGTGTGATATATGATAAACTGATTTGTATCTATGTACTCAAATTAAAAACTATAGACCCATGTACTTTGGGTATGTCTGCACTGCATAAAAGCATGTTTTTAACTCAGGTTGACTAACCCAGGTTTGCTAAGTGAGATTAAAGGAGCAATGAAGGGAAGTTTAATTGGGTATTAAAGCAGAGCTCAGCTATAGTTAAGGTTGTGAACTTATTCCTGTTTTTTGTAAAACCTATCAGCCTTAAGAAAAGTCAATCTTTAAAGTTCTCCTTCAGAAATTCAACTGTGACTCTGACTGGACATCAAAGGGTCTCTCAATCATTTGACAATTACTCTAGCCACACTTCTTCTTCAGAGAAGCTAAATTGAAAACAGAATTCAAAAGTTCT